TATCGACGACATTTCAATAGCTTCGAAAGGTTCATTAAATGAACACAAAGCGATACTAACTAACATTTTAAACATTTTGGACAACAAGAATATGGCGGTAAAATGGGAGAAATGTGCATTCTTCCAAAAAGAAATAGAGTGGCTAGGTTTCAAGATATCAAACTTGGGCGTGAAACCATTGGTGGGAAAGTCAGATTCGATTAAAAACCTACCAAACCCCAAAAATATATCTGAACTTAGGTCTTTCTTTGGGTCGATCAATCAGTATATGAAATTCGTCCCGAATTTGTCTTCCCTAAGTTCTCTCCCTCGTAAAGGAATCAGTCTACCGATGGAATGATGAACATACTAAAGCGTTTGAAGAATTAAAACAACAGATAGTGAACATAACAGAGAATAATCATTTCGACATAAAAAGGATGTCAAGACTAAAGACAGACGCTTCTGATAGCGGCTTAGGAGCTACCCTAGAACAATGGGGTGGAGAAAATTGGGTTTTTAAACAACCACGAAAGTAAAAATTCGACAAACAAACTTGAATTGTTGGGAGTAGTCTGGGCTACAGAACACTTTAAAAATTACTAGTATGGTGCTGAATTTGAAATTGTAACGGACCATAAGGCATTGTTATCAGCATTAAATGCAAATCAGGGTAACAAAACTATGCATAGCAGATTAACCCATTGGGTAAACCGACTTTTACCATTTAATTTCAAGATCAAGCTTATTCCGGGAAAAGAAATGGGACCTACAGATTTATTGTCGAGACTACCTTCACGAAAAGCACTCCCAACATCACACTATGATAGCGAATTTGTAGTGGCTACAGTACAAAAGATTGTAGAAAACCTCTCTGTAAATAGCAATTAAAAAAAGAATAATTGTAAAAAGAACGAAGTGTATAATCCATTGGATGTACATACGATCAGTAACTTGGATTGTAATAATCCAATGGGCGGAAAGAAAGAATTATCGCAAAGCATCCAACGGTCGTTCTTCTCGAATATTCTGAATTACGTAAACGACACTATCAAAATTTGTAATTCCAATCACTCGCGTTCAGAGGCTTGCACAAGCGGTTGTGTTGCATTAAATTTATCAAAATTTGACTTCAATTACTTTCACTTATCAGACAAAACTTTTGTATTCTTTCTTGCCCAATCAGTACTATTAATCAATCAGTCATTAAATTCAGATAAAAAAAAAATTACAAGAATTTATTACATCGGTCAACTTGTTAAAAATTTCCCTCAGGCCAGAAAAGAAAGGAATCTTTTTGAATTTTAATAACGATATAATGTCAGACTTACACAAGAAATTACTGGCCAAGTACAAGGGAGATCTCAGATTGCCTGACAACCCGTTATCATTCTCAGATCATTGCTCAAACAAACTTATTAAACTCATGACGGACGAAGATAAAATCCTCAAGAAGGTAAAGAAGGCGGTACAGGAAGGCAAACCATTGGAGAAATTCGGAGCCTACTTAAAGAATTTCCAGAGGGACATTCACGTGAAAGAAGGACTGTTATTCAACGATAACAAACTGATAGTGCCGGCCGCATTAAGATCACCATTCCTGTCACTTCTTCACGAGACTCACCCAGGACAGTTCGGGATGAAAGCCCTGGCAGAAAACATCTGGTGGCCACACCTATACAGAGAGATCTACCATCACGGAAAGATTTGCACTCAGTGTATATTGGCCGGTAAGAACCTAAAAGTGTTACTAGGGACGAACAAGACTGAGAAATTACCGATTCTGACCAAACCAATTGAAGAAGTAGATTTAGACTTTGCTGGCCCATTGGACAAGAATTGGGGTAACACAAAATACCTTTTGTTATGTATTGATCGCTTTTCAAAGTTTCCGTCCGCAAAGGTAGTGAACAATACCTCGGCTTCTTCAATTTTAACCTTCATGAAAGATTTACTGCCATCTTCACGGATTTCCAAAGTCCATTAGAGCTGACCATGGGTCATGTTTTACTTCGTTTGATTTTAGAAACTTCTGCGAGAAGAACAACATTAATTTAATCCTATGTACGGTCGGTGATCATAGATCCAACGGAGTAGTAGAAAGACTCATTTACACTGTCAAAGCTAAGCTACTGGCAATGTCGTTCAACGATCCAAAATCATCCTTAAATACGGCTATTGATAAAATTATTTGGAATATACGCTCGACGAAACAATCATCCATTGGATGCTTTCCTTTCTCAAAACATTTTAATATATCTCCCAATACGTTCTTGAAATCTTTGGTTTCTCTCGCAATTTGTTTAGATAAGGGGAAATCAATCCTAACGAAGGACAGAGCACAAGACTGGGGGGCTGACGACGCGTTTGAAGATGGCTATCTGGAAGACAGAGCAATAGATGAAAGAGGGTAAGAGAGCGAACCTGCTGACAAAGTAGATAGAAATCTCCAGCGAGCCCCACTGTCAAATCCTTTCAGCCAAGGAGGTAACTGGTTTAGGAAAACAGTTAACAGGAGGGAAGGCGAACCGTATTTTAAACCACTCGGGAATAAACCTCTGTCAGACACGAAACATACGGTCACATTAGACAACGGACATGTGATAAGAAAATCTGACTTAGCTTTTAACAAAATCCAACCGGCAGCTCCTAAGAAATTCTCGGCAAGACCGAATTCGCTAATTATTAGTAATGATTTAGCAGGCAAGCGAAAAAGAAACTCCCCTTCCAAGAGACGAGACTCAAATATAGGAGGCCCTTCGACGAGTTACACACCAACTGGTGGAAATACTTGCAAAAAGAGGAGAACATTCATCACGAGCTCGAAAGGTTCAAAATTCGACTTTAATAACCTAGATTCTTTGTTAGATTTAGACCTGTGGGATAAAGTCATTGATGACTACTTGGGTACGGAAGCGGAAACTGTATGTAATACACCGACTGTTAATCTTCATAGTGATTTAGATCGGCCAAGGAGTACCGTACAAAGCCAGACAAACACTCAGACAACGTTCACTATACCAACGGGCACAAATGACGAATCAATTCGAGTGGATAGCTCTCCGGAGAATACAGTGGAGACACCAAAGACCCCGATATCCTCAAAACTTCGTGCAAGAAGAAACCCAGGTCCCCCGAAATTCTACGGCGATAGGCGGTTTATCGACCAAGTGACGCTCGGAACGGAGACCATTAGTGCAGTAGACTCCGATTACGAACCGCTAAATTCGTTTTCCGGCGCAAAGAGTCCACGACCTAATTTAACGTATTGTACGATGTCCCCCTCGGATTATCTTACACCCATTGATGAGATCCCACGTCATACGACTCTGGTTGCTGAAACCACACAAGATCAATTCTCAACACCCTCCTCACAGGCGACAAGGACCGCATGGGTATCGCCACCATTGGTAGAAGTTACCAGTAATACCCAGGATGATGACGGCAGTGACATATCCTCGGGCATTGACACCGATGTAAGAAGAGAGGCAGATAATTTCCATGCTAGATACAACACTACGGTCCTAAACTCTGAAAACTGTTAATCTATGGTAACATGATATTTTACGTATTTGCTTTAGCTTTTATCCATTGGATAACCCAAAATTTTTTTTTATTACCTAGTTAGTGATTTAGTTAGTTTGCTTTATTTGTACAAATGCTACATAACCCCAGTTGTACATATCATTTTGTACATTCAGTGTTGATATCTGTGTAAACCTGTAAGTAGCCTGTATATATTACCATATAATCAACTCCATTGTAATTTGTACTCTCTGTAAAAATCCATTGGTGCTAAACGTGGTTACTTTTTGTTTCTTTTTTGGCCCTAGTGGAGCGAGGGGAGATGGAGTATATGTGTGATATTGGCTACATCGATGAGCGGGCAGATATCAATTTTTGTGCAGTGGGGAATGTTTTGATTCAGTATTTTTAGTATGTTATAACCTTGACCTCTATCATCTAATTACGTACCAGTCAATGTTAACTCTACGAAGTCCAGTGGACTTCGGATCACTAGTTGCTCTTTTTGGACTACAGTCAGTTTTAATTCAACCAATACTTTTATTCTCTTTTAACCTTAGTTAGATACAATAGTTGTTACCAGTGGTACATCTTAACTCTTTATTACCACCAAAGAAATTACCAGATTGATTTCGTTGACCAAACCAGCTACCATTTTAACCAAATCTAGCCATGCCTCAGCTGTCTAAACTTTTTTCAACCAATGAAAAAATATTGAAAAATTGTCGCACTATTTAAAGTAAAATTGTCGGATTATTTGTTTTGAGCGAAATGATCGCTGTATTTTTGTTTTCAAACTGATCTAAGCTGATATAAATTTGAGATTAGGGGCTGTTATGGGGGCGATCCATGCACCACCTAAAGTAATCCCTTGGGTACGCAACCAACAACTAAAGTTTTTAGAGATAGTTTTAACCCAAAATTACACTGATTTAATCTGAAATTAAAAACTGAACGTTTTCTGAATTGTACGTTTTGTTAATTGTACGCATTAAGAGAATTGAAAATTTTTGTGCTGGACCCATGTAATCAAATATCATTTGGATTAAAAAAAAATTTCTTGTAAAATATTTTCTAAACGTCATGAAATAACTTGTTTTCAGTTTGTCCCAGAAAAATATTCATGAAGAGAACTTTAACAACTGATACCTGCGAAATGTTTTCAGGACTGTCTAAAAGCGGAGTCTAAATCCTTTTAAGCTCCATATAGTTCGTCAAATTAAGATAATTTTTACAAATACTTTTATCTCATTCGAAATTCCGTTCAATATCGTGCGTAGATTGAGCTTAAATTTTGATTTTCTGCTGTTCAAAATTTTTCTTTCAATTGGTTGAAGTATTTGCTGCTTTAGCTTCAACGCTCATTTCACGAATAATGGTTTTTGTTAAAAACACCAAATGAGTACCCATGGTTGTTAGAAACGGAATAAAGCTCGACTTCCTTCCCCCGCAACACCACACACCACACCGTAACCCCCCCCCCCCCGACACTCAACTGAAACTCTATAATAGCAGATGGACGATCCATTTCTGTGCTTCAATGCAAATCTCGAGATTCTGAAGTGGAGATCCAAATCTGTCAAAAGCTGAATCCCTCTATTGACTGTGTCTATCACATTATGGGGCGTCTTACAGTTCACCGCATACTCTGTGTACGGGGTGATATAGTCGGCTAATTTCACTATCTGCAAAGTGGGAAGTAGCGCTAGCAAATCGGGTGTGATTTCAATGTATCCATAGAACAAGTTATCATATGGTGAACCATATGTACGATATGGTGCAAAAGCAGATTTCCAATAGAAGTAGCAAAGATACCACACGTCTTCTCCCAAGTTTGTTGCATCGTCTTCCTCGAAAGTTGGTCCATTTGACGAAACCTGAAAAAAAAGCAGATGAAAAAATACGCAGCTATCATTTATTAGCTATCTTGTAAGCTAGCTTGCGTAGTGAAATCTTTATAAATGTATCTTTATATATTATCAAGCTATTTTTCCGAAGAACAAAGACAAGTCTGGCGTTTTAGGATCCACTTTTCTGGGCAAAGGCTTAGTAGAAATCAGGGCTGGTCTATAAGGTGTGGCCTTATTAAGGTAACCTATCCCTTCCTTGCAAGTTCCTCTTTCAAGATAATAAATGCAATTGAGTCAACAATATTGATTGCAATTCAAAAGAGTAAATCCTGGTCACATCAGTATAAATTTAGTACTTTTTCTGCAAAAAAAAGACTTTGGAAATGAAAATGCTTCGAGAAATCCATGTTGGAGTCCAGTCCAGGCAGAAAATTTCGCCAAAACCGGGACTAAACCGGGGCCAAATCATTTCGGTCGACCTAAAAAAAAGTCGACAAAATTTTTGGAATTTTTTTGAAAATCCGCCTCCCCCCACTCGAGAAAATCATAGATCCGCCCCTGATCAAAGTATCTATTAAAAATCTCTTAGTTATTATCTTGATCGAGATTATGTTTTTTAAAACAAGCATAAAAAAGTCATATCTCTAAGACGACAAGAATTTGAGTAGCATTACTTGGAGGCAAGATTGAACCGCCGGAGATACCCTGACAGCGCCTCACTTTAGACATGAGAAGTTCAAGTTTCATGAAGTTTTCTTAGATCTAAGTTTTTGGAAAAAATTTGAGAAGACATAAAAAATGTCACATCTCGGAATTTGAAAGCGTTTGAGCAGTGGCATTCAAATGCAAGATTTGCCACTCTTGAGTGTACTACAGAGTTAGTAATTTGATAACTTTTGTTTTTTTTCTGAATTTTAAGTTTTTTGAAAACTTATAAAAAACGGCATATCTCGAAAACTAAAAGAAATTGAGCATTCATTTTTGGAGGCATGATTCTTAACCTCTTAGAGTATTCTGACAGCACCAAACTACAGGGCTTCACAATTTTATTTATTCAAAAATTGGGCTTCACAAGTCTTAAAATTTTTACAAAACTTAAGACGTAGCCGTTTATGCAGGGATGCTTCCCACAAAATTTTGCCTCGATTGAGCCCATGATATCAGACTCGGCTGGCTAGTTTTTGAGATAACTCAAAAATTGTCAAAAAACGGTGTAAGAAATCGAAAATTAGAATTTTCCAAGAAACAAAATTTTTCGTGTAAGCTACTGTGGGCTGAGCTGCAAGCCATTTATGCATATGAGTTTCCTACGACCCGTAGTTTTTATTGAACCCAAATTTTCAGATTCAGAAGGGTAGGTTTCGAGGAAAAGCAAAAAGTTTCAAAAAACGGTCAAAAAATTTAAGAAAAAAGAGATTACTTCGAGGATAAAAACACTTGGGCTTCGACGACCATGCAGAGGAGTTATTTTACAAGTAATCTTTTTGATTGAAATTGAAATCTCAGATTTGTGAGAGTAGTTTTTAAATTAAATCAAAAAGTTTTTAAAATGGTATAAAAAATCGGAATAGAGCGTAATTGCTGGTGCAGGGGACCTCCCACGTCTCGTATGCACATTGAACACAAAGTCTCAGTTTTGGTAGGTAAAATTTTAAGAATAGTCGAATTGTTTTAAAAAACAGTGAACAAATTTAAAAATGTATTTTTTGAAGGTAACTAATTTTTGTTTATGACCTTTACAATCCGTGTTCCTAATTGAACCCAAAATCTCAGATTCGCGAGGATCGTTTTTGATAAAAATCAAAAAGATTCAAAATACCGGTAAAAAAATTTAAAGTTTTGACTTTTTTGAGGGCCATAACTTTGTGCGTAGGTAGCCGTTAAGGCAGTGAACTTTTTCACGTATCGTATTAACATTGAACCCAAAAACTCAGATTAGGGAGAGTAGTTTCAAAAAAAAGGTACAAAAAATTTGAAAAATGACTTTTGTGAGTCTTTTGTCTAAAAAGTTGGGCGTAGCCAATTTTGCATGGGAGATTCCTACAGCCCTCAGGGAGAAAAGTCATAAAGTTTCAAAAAACTACAAAAAAAGTAAACTTTTGACATATCCAAAGTCCTTAATTTTTGTCTAAAAATTTTGGTAGCAATCGCTAAAGCAGGGGACCGTTGCACGTCTTGCATACACATGGAACCAAAAATCTCAGATTTGGGAAAGCAGTTTTTGAGAAAACGTTTTTAAAAATCAAAGTTTTGGGTCAGAAGCTCGCCGCACATTTTTTTTTCGAAGGCTGTAGAAAGACGGCTAAGGTAAAAAGAGAATAGGCTGTTATGCAGGCACACAGAATTGGGCGGTCTTTCCATTGGTACTATTTTTTTGAAAATCGGTAGAACAACTTTTAAAAAAATTCTGAAAAGCAAAATTTTTTCCAGAGGATCTCAAAATTTTTTCAAAGTAGATATAAACAGGATTCAACCTTCGTAACGACCAGCCCTGGACCACCCCAGTTTAACGGCCATAATGAGCGGGTTATGGAAAAAAAGTTTAAAATATAAGGTGAAATAGTTGTTGAATTTTTCGTTGAAGATGAAATAGGGTGAAATAAGTCGTTGAACTAACCCTTACAATTCGTAGAAATTCTCCGGATGGTCCTCTCAATGCAAACCTATGAATTTGGCCAGTGTTGAAACGAAGCTGACTAATTATTGTTACAGCATCTGCTCTGGTTGACGCCGTGTTGTCCACCTGCTCACACGTATCTAAACGTCGTCGAGATGATTAATGAACAAGAACAAAATTCAGCACTACATAAAACATAAGTTCTTTTCTAAATTGAAAGAAGTTCTGTATCTACTTAAAAATCTCTCTCCCCACCCTATGGCATCTACTTCAGAATCTCCACCACTATAATTAAATACAGTAACTTAGCACTATAGATCCTTCTATTGAAAACTCTTTTTTTGCTGCATTCTGATTGGTGGAAAACTCTACTCTTTTAATGTAAATAACATCCCCCCTCCGAGGTTTTCATCCTCGGTGAGAAGGGGGAGGGAGGGTGGAGGGTAGAGGGTGAGAAGGGGGAAGGAAGGAGGGTGGAAAAAGTCTAAAAAAAAACAATAATATTGCCCAATAAAAAACCAATAATAAACCAGTTATTGTTTTCACAAATTTCGAGCTAAATAAGACAAATAAGATCACTGTAAACTCTTTTGATTTAGATAAACTTTTTTATTTAGATTGTTTAACTGAACGGTTAAGAAAAAGCGCATTATTTGTTCTGACCAATGAAAATGAGAAGGAACTTTGGATCCGAGTGCGTTTATTTTTTTCTGTTTTCCACGTAAGAACCAGTTACCATAAATAATCATCGGAATGGGTCAAGTCAAATGATATATCATATTTAAAACCAACCAGCCTTGATTCAAACAAAGTCTTTAAAAAACCAATACCTGTTCCACTGTTAACATAAAAGCTTCAAAATTGTCAAGAAGAGAATGAACAGGCTTATTATAGAAGGAGTAGAGTTCGAATTATGGACCACGAAATATCACGTAATATAACGTAACATGACTCTCAAGGTCAAGGTTATTATTACTCTACTTGGCGCGTACAGCCAGTGACTTGGCGTAAGTACAGTAATAAATTCCAGTCGATTTCCTTACGCTTTTTCGCTGTTAGAATACAGTTTTCACGTGGCGCAGTTGCAAATAGAATTCAAGCTATCGCAACCTTGACGTTTTCTGGCATGAACTGTCCCAGAAAACCCCGGCCTCAAGGGGAGATTGAATAATGAAATTCCAGATAGTAGTTATTGCAAAAAAAGAAAACGATATAGAGGACTTACCATAGGAAAACACACTACAAGAATATTTTTTTCTATGTTGGAAACAGGTCCTGGCACAGATGACCAGGCAGCACGGACAGGAAGAGAGACAGGAAAGAAAACTGCAACAGCAGCAGGGCAAAATTCAGAACACCGTAGTGTGAAGAATGTTCAAAGGGCACCCGGGAAGAAGAGGATAAAGGGCTGAAATCCAACTTTTTCCTATTGTTAGGAAAACAAGGACAGCGATTTATTTATCAGAGTTGTCTATATTGGAAAATCGTAGATATTAGCTTCATGGAACCAGAAAAATTAACATCAGAGGCGTTTATGGAAGAACCAAACGTCACCAATAGGAGATTTATGTTATTCGGCCGAAAACAGATGAAACACAAAAGTACGGATCAGTTTTTTGGAGCCCTTAATGACTTGTGGTGACAAAAAAAAATCCATTGAACGGGCTGTCCTCATTTTTAACATTTAAAGAAACAACTGTGTATGGAAACTATGAACACTAGTGAGGCACTTCAAGTTGCAGTAAAGGAGAGAACGAGGAAAACCTATATATAAAAAAGTCAGTTGGGGGCTTTCAAAGCTCCGTAGAAACAAGTTTAACTCAAGCAGATCGAACATTTCAGGTCAAAGCGAAAATTGTGTTAAGAGAAAATCAAAGAGTGGAGTGAACTGACAGATGTTAGACAAATAACTTATCTGAGCAAAAACATAAGAGCAGCCTTTCATAGGGACTGTTGCAAAACCAAAAAATGTAAGCAAAAAATGTAGTAGCCAAACGCACTTCGCTAAAAACTGTAAGAATTTTGCAGTCAATCAGATGGAGCAAAACGCAACGAAAGTTAGCCAGAGGTTTGATCAACAACAGGACGACGATGTTTTCAGTGTTTTGGTCATCAGGACAAAAACGTATACGGAAAGACAAAAACGAAAAACGTTAGGCATCATGATGGGAAAAAGCTCATGTTTAACGGTTTTTCAAGTTGATTGTGCTAGCCCAATGTCTATTAATTCTCAGGAAAAGTCACAGAGAAAAAAAAGGATTTTTTTTTGTCTAAAAGCCATTCCTGAAGAAAATACGTAACTTGTTTTTAGCGCGACAGATTGCGTTATAAAAACAATTTGTCGTATTTTCGTAGATATAAAATTAGATAGTTGGACAGTGTACGGCGCAAAAATCTAAATCGCAGGGATGGCCAACGTGACATCCTGGGGAACAATGTTCTGCCTACCGTGTGGTCGTAATGAGACAGAAGCAGAAATCTAGAAAAGTCAACGAATTGGGAGGTGCGGACTGAATACAGCAATAGAATTTTCAAATTATCCAAAAAAGCAGAGTGCCAGTGGAAAAATTATTTTCAGCAGCGACAACCGAACATTTTAGGGATCTGAAGAAAAATCGTTCCCGGATTAAATGAGAATTAAAACATGATGGAAAGTTTGAAACAGTGAATAAAACCGAAGACAATTTCGTGAAAAACCGTCATTTTGACCTTTAAAAAGACACGATAATCAGTTCTGATGCTTCAAAGAAAAAAGTAGGGAACACTTCAGAACAGTTGTATACCGAAGACTGCAAGCCATTTTGTTATGCTTCACTGTTTTTAAGAGTGGCGGAGTCAAAATTGAACATTGTCATTTAGAACTGTTTGCGGTCGTGTGTGCTCTGAGATTCGGCATACAATGTTAAAGGGAAGAAATATGGGGTTGGTTGATAATTTATCTCAACATCCAGTCGGTAATGCCCTGAAGGTTTCAGCTTTAGATAGTACGTTTGTTGTTGCTCAAGTGAACACATTTCTCAGGCTAAGAGTGCTTTCGGCTAGTGAGCGTGCGAAAATGCAAAGCCTTCAAAATGAATTAAAGGGCAAAACAAAATCAGAACAAGAATATCACGTAATCGGAAATATTGTGCAGCAAAAAAAACTCATCAATGCGTTTAGAAACTGTCATTGATCCGGGGTTTGTACTGGAAACCACAAGCGCACAGAAAAATGCAAACCTTGTAAAATGACCGATTCATTGGATTTGAACGGAAGAAGTCATATCAAGAAACCCAGGCGGCACGCGAAGGAATTCTCTAACAGCAAAATGCACGGCAGAAATTCAGTTCGATAGCTGTCGGCTTTGTCTAGAGTTATCGCGGCGGAAAGATTCCATCTTTTCTGTTTGATTGGGAAGAGTTCTTTGGCGAAAACCTCATAGCAATACTTAGCAAAACTGATGAGATACTGAATTTTGTTATAGAATCCAGTTGAAAAAAAATAGAGTCCAAAAAAGTCGTTACTAACCCCGGCCTTACATCAACTTTTATGTAAATAATTTCACATGTCCAACGTTATTCTGTCGTTGGAAGACAAAAAGAAAAAATGGTTGTGCCGCCGCGCTAACGCGCTCCAATTAAGCTGAGATTGCATAAGGGCCTTTCAGGCATGTTTAAAAAGCAGGATGTTGCGGGCAGTTATTTTTGGTGACCTCATTTGAACAAAAAATCCTATTTACCGCGCCGAGTTGAAGAGAACGCACTGAACCAGTCATACCGAGCACCAACGTAACAATTTTTGATTCCACGGAAAAGCGGAATCAAGAAATTCAGTTGGACTTCCTTTTGCCAATACCAACAAACTGGATGCTACTCAATAATTATTGAACTGCGTTGCCAGGTTTTCGAAGTTTCCAGCTTTCAACTCGTACAACCGCGCCAGTTATGAGGGAAGGTTTAGAAAACTAGATAACACTACTTGCAATACCAGGAATTGTAAGAACGGACCAGGAGTTTTGCCGCCAAAATGACGAGTGAGTTCTGTACACAAAATAACATAAAATTGATCTTCGCGCCAGAAGAAAACCGTAGGGTGAAAAGCTTACGGTGCACCAGAGCATTTCGAGAAATTTTAATCGCATGCGTGTTCCAAGTTCCAAAACTAGCATTGAAAACAGAATTTAATGAGTTTTCCAAAACTAGAGTTAAGTGAAATCATATTATTAGGACAGCGACTCATCAGTAGATAAGATATTCGCAGTTTGAAGCCTATTTTGGCAGAAAACCAAACACTGTTTGACAGAAGGTTAGATGCAAAACGTCAATGAAGAACCTGTCAAGGCCAAGTGTACTAATTACATTAGATAGGAACAAGAGGATGTTTCACGGGAAGATGCAGGATTAAGCGCTGCCAGACGACGTATCTTTGATGAAGTAATTTCTTGATCGCGTTGACTATCGTTTGGCTCCGAAAGCAACGGTGACCGGGATTGCCCACGGCACAGTTGCGTATACTAGTACTGAACAAAAACAGCACAAAACGCTGGCGTTGAAGGCACAAAAACGAAGATAACAGTTTTTTAGATAGAAGCAGGATCTGTTATAATCGAGACCGTCTTTTGAAACTCTCAAAGAGAAAGCGTTGGAGAAACTGATCATACGGTTACTTTCCACCCAGGAAAAGTTAATCATGAATCTGAGATTTCGATAATTTCAGGTTCTCAGCTATGCACCGTAGATGTACAGGAGCAAAGAAGGCGTAAAAATGACAAGAAGGACAATTCTAGTACGATGGATGCACGAATAACAGCTACATTGAACGCAACGACCGAATTGCCGCCGTTCGCTCAACGACAGGAGGTGCAATCAAAAAGGATTTACAACACTTAGGGCATAGCAAATAATCCAATCCAGATCGACAAAAACAACAGCTAAATTATCACAATTCCGACAAGAAACAAACCACTACGAAACAGACTGCCACCAAACCTTCTCGTAGAACGATTCTTCACAAGAACGATTCCAATGAAAACCTGTCTAGTTCATGTGGTGACGTGAACAAACAGTTCTAAGGAGGACGACAAAAGTGTTTTGCCGGTATCAACAAAGACTGTCAGCAGGCCGAGACGGGGAGCTAAGATGGGCGAAAGAACTCATAATTG